GAAACAAATTTTATAACCAATTGTGGAAAAAAATATCACTTTAATGAACAATTTCCATGTAAAACAAAACCAAACGAATAGAAAATTAAAAAAAAATTTGGGTGGAAAATTATACCAATCAAACACACTTGAAATCATTTTCCCTACAAAACATTTTCTAAACAAATCTTTTCCCTGTAAAACTTTTTCTTTCCACCCATTTTCCACATTTGCAATCAAACGCACCCTCTTTTTTAGGAAAGTGCAAGATGGGTGCGATTATCTTAAATGGTCCTTTGATCCCATTATTATCCATTAAATTATAATTCATTTTTCTCTCTTTTTTTATGAACCACATTTTTCATTAAAATAATATTACACGTAAAATTTAAAAAAAAATTCTTTTTTTTAACCACACATTTACAAAAAAATTACTATTCTTCTGATTATAATGTAAAATAATGAGAGCTAAATGGGGGCAAAAAGTTGTCATGGTTGTGATAAAAGTTTTACAGAGATTGTGATTACGACATTATCTATTAGTATCACGTCGCTCCATTTCTTACACACACACCTTTCTGAGGATAGTGCAAGATGAGTGCAATACTCTTGAAGCTGTCGTGATTATGATTTGAAACTTCATGGAGATTATAATTATGGTGCTTGATATTTGTGTCGCGTTCCTCTATTTTTTTCCCTCATTTTTTGATCGAAGTGCACATTTATTTTCACTCAATTTTTGAAATGTTCAAGATAAATGCGGAATTAATATTATCACAACCATAATTATCGTGTTGGCTATTGACATCATCCTTCAATTTCTTTACTCTCCCTTTTAAGGAAAGCAGAAGGCGTGTTGGCATTCTTAATTTGTTAATTCTGTACATACCTGTGTAACGAAAGAAATTAAATAATTAATAGGATAATAAAATTTTACACCAAAAAATGTTCATTACCCCAAAATTCAAGTGGTGCTTTCTTTACAAAACAAGTGAGGCCACAACTTGCATGGTCCCAAACCCACAAAGTAATGGTCTCAAACAAATCACCAAAAAAGGAATAAAAAAAGAACTTCCATTAAAGTCCGTTTGATAGGCAAAGGTGGAAAGCATTGTTCTAAAATGCGTAATGTGTTACGATACGTCGAGGTCGAGAATCAAGAATCACAAATTTAGGCGTGTCAATACGAAAAATAAACGCTATAATGCGTTTCGTATTTTTAATATTATTTTAATTATTTTTACGATATTAAATATATTTTATATAAAAAATTGATTTTTTACTATATCATAAAAAAAAAAATAGATTTTTTACCTTAAAAAAAAAAGATAATTAAATGCGTCGAGACCGAGAATCAAGAATCACAAGTTTAGACGTGTCAATGCGAAGAATAAGCGTCATAATGCGTTTCGTATTTTTAAGGTATTAAATATATTTTTATATAAAAAAATATATTTTTTAATATATCATAAAAAAATAGATAAAAAAAAAAAAGGATTATACGCGCATTTTAGATGGAAAACGCATTTTTCACTCATTTCCTGAAATTGACACGTTTTCGACCAGCGTTGCGCCATTTTCGAACCTTTTAGAACATGGGTGGAAAGGAATTCAATTTTCATATTAGTTGAAAAATAAAAATTCAAAAAATCCATAAACATTTATTTTCTATGAAAATAAAGAAAATACAACTTAAAGTGATTGTACCTAAAAATTCGATTTCCATTTCCACGTTGCAATCAAACGGTTTAAGTGGAATTCGTTTTTTTCTAATGTAATATTTTCCATTGAAATCAAACAGGGCGTTAGAAAAAAATATTAACTGTTTGGTGAGGGATTAAAATTAGATTTTTAGTATATTGTGATAGAAGTTTTTGAAATGTATGGTTGAAAAGTTGTAGGATTCATGAAAGAAGTGGTTAATATTAATTGTTTAACTTTGATTGATTTTAATTCGGATCAAAGGGCTAAAAATAAAAGGAAAATTGACAAAAAAACCCCTAAGGCTCGAACTTTGGATGGGGGCCGAAAGGCTTACTTGGCAGAATCCATACAAACCAGAATAGCACCAAAAAATGGGCAGTGCTGTAAACAATTCACAGTGAAAGGAACTAAAAAGGCGGCAAAATTCGCTAATTCCAAAGGGTTCTCTGATCGAGGTAAAATCCGATGAGGAAGGTTGTGTAGACGTTTACTTCTTTCTTAGCGACTATAGTTAATCCCGCTTCAAAAATCAAAGAAAAAAAAATTAAACCCTAAAACGACAAAGTTTACGTGGAGTACAACGACCTGTTGGCGGATGAAAATGGGTCGGAGCTTCTGAGGGAGTACGTAAATGTGGCGTTTGTGAGGCCAGCGCTACCACAAGAAGTGATTGTTCAGGGTTTTGAAGTAAACGACGTCGTTGATGCTTTCCACGGGATGGGTGGTGGACAGGTGTTGTGAGGAGAATAATTGACGGAGGTTCGAAGTTTGTAGTCACTTTTCAAAATCCTTCAGACGAGTTCCAATTTGGCGTTGCAGACCTGCGGGTCCACTGGGATTGGGTCGGCGGTCTGTAGGTCCGACCCGTTCAGCTGGTAAAGACCCCAGGGTTTTTTAGGGTTATGATGTGTAACATTTTCGTCTTATTTTTCTGAAATATTGTTTTCACATTCTTTTCTTCTTTTTATGTTCTGCATTTCGGTCTATTTAATGTTTTTAGGGTTTATGAGGCTCTATTACTTTTTATATTTGAGTTTGCTGGGTTGAAGGTGGCCAATTACAAGCATACTGCTGATAATTTGATATTTTGGTTTGCATTTAGGAATTATCAGATTCACAGAAGTGTAGAATCCTTTTTTTGCGAGTTCGATCTATTGTGAATTTTTATGTTACTGCATTCATATTCCTAAATTGCTAGGATTTCATATTGGAAGAAGTCTCTCTCTCTCTGTATTATTATTATTATTATTATTATTATTATTATTATTATTATTATTATTATTATTATTATTATTATTATTATTATTATTATTATTATTATTTCCTTATGGGTTTATGTTTTTGGTGAGTCATGCTTGCATAAATGCTTTTGAAAGTATAAGTATTATTTTGTTTACCATGGTAGTGTAATTTCAATCTTACTAATAGTTACATTTGGGAGGTAAAAACCATCACTCTTGTATTTTCCTGTAAGTTATACAATTTTCGAAGTTATATGTTCTTTAGCACATAATGAAGCTGTTCAATTATATTTATATCTCAGTGGAACCAATTGAAAAGGTGCTGGGAGCTGTTAGTGTGATGGTTGATTTTTTAGCGTGACATTCTTGTAAATGAGGATTATTACTTGTTCTAATTTTAAGAATTGCTGAACTCCGTTGATCATTAAATCTTACAAGATGATATCACTTTTAACTTTCTATTCATGATATTTTTTTTCTTTGTTCTTGTGAAATATTCGGAAGAGCACAGCAGCTTTGATGTTTGAAGTGGGGAGACAAGTAGAGGTCTCATTTGATGCAGAAGATTGTCGAGATGCTTGGTTCCCAGCAACTATATTGGACATATTAAGAAACGGATCTTTCCTAGTGGGGTACCGGAGCCCAATAGTTGGTGATGAGGCTTGCCTTCTGAAAGTAATCATTGATCCGCTCCATGTCAGACCTTGTCCACCACTTCTTAAGAGTAAAAAATTTGATCTACTGGAAAAAATTGATGCATCTTTTGATAATGGCTGGTGGAGTGGAGTAATTACAAAAGAGCTTGAGGATAGTAGGTACCTTGTCTTTTTCAAGGAGACGAGTAAGAATAGGAAATTCCATCAGTCAGAAATAAGACCACACATGGAATGGAAAGATGGCAAGTGGATCACTTCTTCCAAGGTTTGCTCTAGCTTTTATGGCTTTTTACTCAGCAGATTCCGATTCTGTTTTGTTTGTGGTGATCAGCATTATCCTTCTTGGCCGCCTTTTATATTCTCTATCCAAAACAACTATGTTCATAAAATGATTGGGGTTTCTAACTGTCATTATCTGCATGTAGTTTTAAATGAGTTACATGTTCTTGTACGATCTAGTGACTAATACTTTTGTGATAGGAAGGAGGCAGAAGGACCTTACTTGTATGTGCTGTACATGTGGTACTAGGCAAATAGTACTCCTGGTTTGAGCACTGACCTGAATGGTTTACCGAAAATGATTCAGTTACATTCCTTTTTTCTTTCACGACATTAGGTTGAATTAAATTTGTTTGCTGTCGTTTGATTATATTCTATCCATGGATAAATTCAATCTCAAACCAGTAGAAGGGAGAGAAAATTGAGGATTAATCTATCTCGATTCATGGTATGGTTTTCTTTACCACCATGCCATGGGGTAAAAAATTTAAGTCAGTAACTGAACTGATATGTTGGTTTCAATTTGGTCACTCAACATTAAAAAAGTTACAAATGAGCAGTTCAACTTTTCTTTTGATTCATGCTGATTACTGAACTATATTTTGTTCAAAACGAGTCGCTGAACTTCAAGTTTTGCTTCACATTGATCCCCACATTTGTTTTCATTTTCAGTAATAATGTTAAATTTGACGACCATGCACTTTCCATATTGTGGAGGAGATTCATTTGAAAGCTTCTTGACTTGATGCTAATTCTGGTAGACAATTTCTATGTTGCAAGGAGACTTACATTGCATGAAACAAGTTTTATAGTCGGGCGACTAATGTGGAACGATTAAAGCTCAGTGGCTGACATGAAACATGTCTTAAAGTTGGATAATTAATTTAGAACAAAAAAAATATTTAGTGACTAAATTGAAACCTGCCTAACCAGTCGAACTTTTTACTTGATGCTCGGACTCTGGTACCGGTACGTATCTAAGTGTCGAATTTTTTATTTTCTACAATATAGGATACATGGACATGGCTAAAAATAGTCCAAATTTCGGACACGAGTATGTGTATGTCTCTCAAACTTCAATTTTTTTTATTAATCCAAAATATCATTTTGATTATTCCAAAATTAATTATTCAAAAAGAAGGAAATTAATATTGAATAAAGGGATAAGACGAATAAAATAGAATTTTGGATTTTAGTTTTGAATTATGGGAATTACTAAATGTTATACAAATTAGAAAATGAGGGATTTGGTTGCAATTAGTACTTAGTGGAGTATTAAGTAACATTATATGGAACTCATTTTCATTTTATACTAACAAAATCTTAAGCCACCGGTGCAGAGAGAGAGTAGGCAAAAAAAAATGAAGAAAATGGAAAGAAGAAGAAAAAGAAGGGAAAACCTAGCGCCGCCGCCTTTCTCCACTCCCTAGGTGGTGACGCTAGGTTTATAGAGAGCAAAAAGGGAAAGAAGAAAAGGGAAAGAAAAGGAAAAGGAAAGAAAGAAAGAAGGAAGAAAAAGAAAGAAGAAACAAAAACGACGAAGTGTTCGGTTAAAACTTGGAAGATCCGACACATTCCATACTCATACCCATGTCTTATTCGACCGAGTACTCCGACTATTTCGAAGAGTCCGAGCATCGGAGCCTCCAAGCATCATGTTGAATTTGTCCCTTAGCCCCAATATTTTAATTAATTTGCAAATATATTTCGGCAAAGTACTCCGTGTAATCTGAAGGATTTGTTCTTGTCATGTAAACCATCTTTTGCTGTTACTTACTATTGAATACCGTAGTCATACCTTTATTATCTGTTATTTCAAGATAATAATTCAGTTTTTTTCCCCTTTGCACCAATTATCTGTATATTTTATTTTCAAATATCTAAGACCAATTTATTGTACCTGCACCTATGGCTTCATAGTGGTATGCCTAAATTTTACTTGTTGTTATCTAAATTATTGCCAGAAAATTCGCGTGTCTGCAGTGCTGAATTGAATTGGGTTTTTTACCCTAATTTCTTTGGCATTTCTTCCAGGATGTCTTGATCCCATCTTCAGAAGATGGAAAGCAGGGAAGTCGTATTTGCACCAATGGCACTGCAGTGGCTAAACCAGTAAGGAGCTCAGGCAATGGAAAGAACAACTCTAAAGAGAAAATGGAGACTCGAATGGAGCAATCAACTCCTCACAATCAGAAACCTTCTCCTTTTACTAAACAATTGACTAAGAGCAGGCATCTTTCACTTTTTGATTCTCTCGATACACTTTCACAGCCTCTGAAGAATCTCAAGGAAGGAAAAGCAGTGGCCCCATCTCGTACACTGCATCAACAAACTATACTTGAAACGTCAAGTAAATATGTGCAGGATGGTTCTATAAGCCCAATCTCTGGAAATACCATGACCAGCTCTGTCAAACCGCCTGTGCCTCAGGACTTTTCCTCTAATAATCCTTACTGGGGGAGGAGAATTGTAAGTCACATCATAAAAATTCTTCATCATATATTATCTTCATTTTGCTTGTTCAATTGATCAAGGTGAAATACCTGAAGATGATGAAAGAACTGCAAATTCAAGCCACTGACTGGTAGCTATGGTTTTAGTCGTCCTGTTTTTAGTATTGGAAATTTATTGATACTACCTTAGTCGAATGCTGGGAAATTATGAGAGATTTGTAAAATGACCGTCATATTGACCATGGTTGATACATGATGTGAATCCATGAGCACGTATGAATGCACAAAATGCTTCTGTAACTCAGTAGAAATAAACTGGTCTTCTGCTACTTCAAGCCAGTGAAACTATTTGAAATTTACACGACTGTTAATGTCCCAATGGATGCACTCTTTGTTCTGATCAGTTATATATAGCCACTGGCTCTCTCTTCTAGTTGAATAGAGTTGGGTGTTTTTAGTTGGATTGTATGAATTGTGACCGTAACTGAACACATTAAGGAAGTTTTTGAAGCTACTAAAATAGGTTCTAAATATTGGTCAGCTAAAAAATCCAAGCCTAACAATAACATAACCTTAAGTAAAGAAAAAACAAGCCTAACGGTTGTTTGACAAAAGTTTTGATAAAAGTTTTAGCAAATTTTGATAGAAGTTGATGAGATTGTGGTTGTAAAGTTGATAAAACTTGTGGGTCCTATGAATGAATTTGGTGTTAAAATTTATTGTCGCCTTTGACCTCAAACTTTTATTAAAATTTATTGTCGCCTTTCCCAACAAAGCACTAATTGAAAATTAATGCCTATACCTGCGTTTGCACTATATTAATCGCATCAACTGGCATCTATGCTGAGAACTGTTACTTCTAAATCGTGCAGCAGAGAAAACAAGGAAAACAAAAGAAGCCTACATCCAGTTCTATGAAGAAAAGAGGAAGAGCACAAACACCACAAGTTGGAAAATCAGAACTTGTAGAAGGTATTTAGTTGGATTCGTGTTTTCTTTATTTGTTTTAATTTTTTGTTAATTCAATTCACTGTAACTGGAAAATTTATTAGCAAGCAATGAGCCCAATTTAGTTGAGAATGCTGCAGATGTTCAAGAGGAGAATGTGGATGGGGAAACCGATTTAGGGATCATCTTAGGTTTGGCATGTACTGAATTGGGGAGCTCAAGACATAGGACAGGGAGTTTAAGAGGTAAGAGGGCTTTGGAGTCCCATGGTAAGGAATCTTTGAAGCTTGTGTGTGTCCAGGAGCAGCTATCAAATGATTCAGCTATACAGATTACAAAGGTGAATGTAAGGATTGGACTGGCACTTTTATATATGGTTTTGAATCTTGATGAAGAATCTTTCTCTGTAAATAGGTATTTAAGGACTGGTTTGCTTAGCCAAATAACATGAAAACGTGAAATCTCATGGAACTAATTAGTTAAATGATCATATCATTCTTCATTATTCTAAATCTGCATTGCTAGATTTATTGTTATATATAAGCTAAAGGGGTCTGTCTGCAAGAGAGATAAAAAAATAGTATTTTAGGGTTAATTGTAATCTTGTTTCTAAGATTTGTTCACTTAAAATGTAAAGAGGGGGGACATTTTCCAATGATAAAGCTGCCTTCAATTTCAATGTGCATCCTGTGATAGTTTCTTCAAACGGCAATATTGTAGTATTGTGTATTCTAGATTGTATCTTGATCAGGTGATGCTTACCTTGCTGCCTAATATATGACAGGGCTTTTGAGTAATTTTATTATAATATTTTCCAAATAATTTTTAGATTATAAATTTATAATATTGATAATAGTTTCTTTGAAACTCTTTTATTATCCCCAGTGGCTCTTTTACATTTTTGTTCGTTTTTTCCAGTAAGAATTATACTATGGTACCTCAGTCTTTGCGTGTTTCCCTTTCCTTATGTTTATACTGCTAATATTAAATCCATCTAACTGTTCAATCCTCATCTCAGTCAAGTTTCATTAAAATTTAATATTTCCATCTCTGGTGTCTTGCACATTTTTTCCCTTCAATTTTGCTTTAATGCTAGGCATTTTAATTTGGGTCATTGAATTTTGTATCTTAAATTATTAGTTTAAAATTGCCAGATCCTATTATTGTTTCTTTGAACCCCCTTACATGGCCTCCTCCCCTCTTGCATAAATAAAAGAAAAGAACGAAATGCTTGTTTGGATTTCATTATTAGTACCTGAATTTAATGTGATAGAAATGAGTGGTGTATAAGTGATTAGTAGTTGTGAGTTGTACTTGTATGAATGCGTGGTTAAACTTAGAAGTTTGATTTGACCTCTAAATTATAATATACTTATAATGAAATCCAAATAAGCACAACATACTTTTTCCACCAATTAGCCAACTTAGAACATCTCCAAGACACTCTCTAAATACAAAATGCTCTTTGTTTTAAAGAGCTAATACTTGAAAATAAGCTCAAAGGGACTCTATTTTTATTTTTTTAAATGGGTTTGGTTTTCAAAATTTGAAGAGTCAAACTCTCAACTTTCTATTCTTAATGTATAGTGATTGCATTTAGTAAGACGCGTATTTCAATACTCTACTTCTTAAACCATTCAGACCACATTTAGGATGTGTTTGAGCCACATTATTTTTTTATTTTTTTTTGATAGTTAATCGTAAAATTTTATTAATCAAAAAAGAATACACAGAAAGTGTATTATCAGTTCAAACAAGAAAGAAAATATAAAAAGTTAGGTAGCCCCTCTATAGGATTGCTAGTCGCTGTATTAAACCAAATATATAAAGTCAGATAAAAAAATTCTCTAAATTTCACACCAAACAATGCATCCCGGGATCAGATTCCATGCGACCTTGCTATCCTTATCCCGAAGTTTCCTCCTCCATGCCCGCAACACATCCTCTATACGTCTAGGCAATACCCAATCTATATGTTGCGAAGCCAGAATACTATTCCACAGTCAACGGACACCGTCACAGTGAATGAACAAGTGGTCATGCGCCTCCCCATCGCTCCTAGTAGATTGATGGAGAATGTGTGGTTGAAAAAGAAGGAAAAGTTATTGATGTGATGGAAAATATTATTTTATTAAAGAATGTAGTTGAAAATGAGTAGAAGAATGAGAATAAAAGTAAAATGAAGATTCTAAATAAAGAGTTGGAGTGCGTAAAAACTTTTACCCTCTAAATTTAAAGATGCTCTCTATAATGTATAAGATGCTCTTATGGAGATTTCTATTAATCAGTACATAATCAGGTTCTATGGCCTTTTTCCTTGGAGTTGAACCAAAACAATGTAAAAAATTAGTAAATGCAAAATAAGCGCATAATTTATCATTAATTTTTTTTAATATTCATAATAAGGCAATTTAAATAAACAAAAGAAAAATATGTAAAGTAACAAAAGAGAAACTATTGCTTTAGTTGGTGCCTTTGGTGGACTATTCTCAAAGTGGGTATATGAGACACAATTTTTTATGTTATGGTAATTGCTTTTTTCGAATGCAGTTAATAAAAAACACGATTTTATTTTTATAGTAATAACTAGTGGGAGTAGTAAGGCCATTCATAAAGTGGTTCGATCTGAATTTTTAATGTTATGGGGGCTCATGCCAAAACAACATAAGTACGGGGAATTAAGGAGCGCATGCCTCATTCAAATGAGGCACATCTCCAAAACTGCCTCTCAAGCTGTGTTTTCCTTCATTTTTGGTCGCCCGACACTGAGGCGAGCCTCAATCAAAATATTTTTAGACAATTGAGTTATATTGACTTTCTTGAACCTCATTATTTCATGCCCTTATCTTTTAGAGATCTTCTGTTTAATTAAATGCTCTTCCTGCTTGTTTCATTACTGTTGTGCTATCTCTAGGAGAGTAAACAATCAGGTACTGAAGTGAACTTTCAGAAGAGAAAGAGGGGAAGGCCTCGAAGGATATTGATCAACACCCTCCAAACTCTGGTAACAGGTCTGTGCATTTTTTTTTTCCGGTCTTCCTGTTTCTTCCTTTTATCCTTGATCAGTGAATTCTTTTTTCCTTAATAACCACTTTCTAGATTTGCTGATTGAAAAACTCTGAAATTTAGGCACTACGCGAAAAGATGTTTTCGAAGATGAAATGGTCCCAAAAGATTGTACAGCAAATGAAGTTTCTCACACGAGTAGTGGCCTTGAGATGTCAGGGATGAAGGGCTTGGTGGGTAATCAGGAAAGCACAACATGCACGGATCATGAGGATCTCTTCAATGGTCCGCTAAAGCAAAAACATAGGTCTGTCAATATGATGAAAACAGCCTTCGCAGAAGTCCCAGGTGAGAAAGTTTCTGGAACGTTAATCAATCCAAATAAGAAGAATTCATCAAAGAGAGGAAAAGGATGTTCTGGAGATCAAATGATTGCTTGTCAATTTCAAGGTAAGCAGTTCTACTACTGGCAGTTTCCTTCAAGATATTGGTAATTGGTTTGGAAGCACTATAATACTTTTTAACCTCTATTTTTATTTGTAATTTTTTGGGATGTGGCGATCGTAGAGATTGTCAAATTGTAGAAGTATATAGGCTGGAGCTTATTGATGCTTTTCGTTTATAACTTGTTAATATCATATCTGCTGATGTCATCCTTTTCATCCTCTCTAGATGCATCCCGTGAGAAAACCATGGGTTCAAATGTCATAGTCAAGGAGGCCAAGAAAGTCATTGTTGAATTACCCAGCAATAAATTGGACGATGAACCTCTTTGTAAGTGGATCGAAGGAACACAGGCTCCAACTCCAGCTGCTTTTGATGGCTCGGGTATAATACCAATATACATTTTCTTGGTGAACCCACTTTTATATATCTGGATTACCTAGTAACATTATTTTTATGCAGAAGTTATCTCCACAAGGACTGCTGAGCAATGTATTGAAACAGGCAAGAAGCAAAATAAAATTGGGCCAAGTGAGCAGCATATCTTGCCCTTCGAGAAGAACACAATTATTTGGAAAACAATTGAATCCATGGAAGTTTTCCGAAGAATGCCGCAAAACCCACATTTCCAACCTTTGGAATCTTATAAAGAGAGTTCTCGTGAAGGTTTAGCTGTAGGTTTTATGGTGACCTTTTCGAGTGTGGTTGATAAAGCTTCGAGGTTGCAATTTAATGATCCTAAAAGCATTACGGATGACATTTTGGAGACGCTTGTGGACTTGGAAAGGCACGGATTTGATGTTCTGGCAGTTCGCGATCGCATTATTGGCTTGGGATCAGTGAAAGAAAGGCAGGAAGAGCTTATGGGCCAGTTAGAGGAAATTAACGACCAAATTTTTGAGCACAATCTTGAGATAAATAAGGCGGACGAAGAGATTGGTGAAATCAACAAACAGATAAGGAACTTGCAAGAAAAGCTTGCAGTTGCTGGATCAACTAAAGAGACGAAGAATTGTGAAGTTGCTTCTTTGCAGTCCAAACTACTGGAAATAAAAGAGAGCATCAATAATGTCAAGTGTGATTTTGAAGGCTTAGCTGGCACGCCTTTGTAAACGCATGATTCTGTAACACACCCCTTTTGTTACAAGGAGCAGAAAGTTGTATTCTTGATTTTGAGTCTCGCTGAGATAATATTTGTGGAAGGAGACGTGAATTAGTCAGTAATGGTAATCTCGTGTTAGGTGTATATCTTGTAGGTATTTGGTAAGTAGAGACGGTGTAAATGTGGTTAGCTTTTATCGTGTAAAACTGTAGTCTGTAATAGCTTAGAAGACCTGATTCCTTTGCTGTTATAATTATTTATGAATATTTTGTTCTCAAAAAGCAAGTTTCGTCTGCATGACATAACGTGTCCAGCTGCTCTCTCCCTTTCCTAGCGCAGTGTACATTAATAGCCAATAACTTTCTGCTGCCTTATTTTCAGTGATCAGTATAAATCCAAGTTAAAGTCGAGAACAGCATGGTCCGAAGGCTCACAGTATGTCTATTGAACAAGGCAATGGGACCCCAAAAACGGCATCATGTATCTAAGGTGAAACCTAGACGAGTGCTTGGTGGTGGTACGTTTTCATCTCAAAAGGTTCTTATTAGGTGAAGCAGCTCATATTTTTAAATACTAAGAGACCATCTTTATGTCGAGCTCACATGGGACATTTGTTTACATAGTACTTTTTAAGAATAACAAATCTGATCTGCTGTGTCCCTGTAGGCTGGATAAAAATTTTACTGCTGATGTGGTAAAAGAACCATACGTATGGTTCTTTGAAATGTATAGAAAGTTTTTATTTTGCTCACTAGGGGCAAAAGATCGGTTTCATTAAGAATAAATATAGTCTACCCTTGAGAAAATTTGCTGGATTTTTTGAATGTATGATCAATAAAAACTGCATTTGTGAGGGAATATTTCATAAAATTTGTTAGTTACGACTACTTTATCATAATTAGAGCAGAGTGGTTGCTCTTGTGGTTCTTAACTAGCTTCGTCGAGTCCTATACCATCAAGTTGTCACACACAAGTTCGTTTGGAAAATAAGTAAACCCACGAATTAATGACTCATTTAATTAGATTGTTTAGTGGTCCATGTCGATCTTTTCTTCCTTTTTTTATAAACAATAATTTGGGCAATAGGTTTTAACGTCTAATTAAGAGTTGATAGCGTTCATCTTGGCTGTTTCCTATTTAATTTTTGACAATTCTTAGCAAATGTTTTAAGGTGATGTTACTTGTGCCGTGCAATGTTAAACATTTTTCTATTTGCTAATAGAGCCAATAAGTCAAGGTTTCAAAGTTTTAGCCAAGAATCACCAATGAGCGGTGTTCTAAAAAGTTGTGACTAGACGCGAAAACGGTGCAAAGTGCCCCGCCTTGAGCTTTATTGCATTTTTTTCTTTTTATTTTTTTCGCGTCAAGTCGGCACACCTTTTTTACTCTTTTTTCTTCAATTATTAAATAATTTTTAGATTAATTTAAAAATTTTAAATTATATTAAAATAAGAAAACTTATTTTTACGTTTAGACCAAAGCTTGACAGCCACATTTTACATTTTTTAGAACATGGTGAATGAGACAGCTAATGAGGTAATATATCTAAGCTCACTCATCTTACAAAGTTTTCGGACATGGGAGTCTACCCAGTACTGTATGGGTAGGTCTAGCCTCAGGAAAAAAGAAAAAAAAAAATGTTCAACTCGAAGTTATAGACGAGCTTGTGTTGAACCTCTAAAAGATGGATGGACACGAAATATGTTGAGAAAAATGAAAAGTTCGGATTTTAAATATCGAGAAGAGAAAAATAGTAACGAAATTTTTAACAATAAACTCAGGACTGTTCTTGTATTTTAACCACATATTAATATTCAACTCAGAAGTATTATAAAGTAAACACATTCATATAAAAAGTGAAATACAATATTATGGAGGCTAAGTATATTCACCACAGTTTTTATCAATTAGATTACATTTTTATTGCATGAAATATTCATAACATTTACATATTATGTCCTAAAACTTTTTTCATCGCATTCTTGTTATCAGATTAATATAAATTGTTCCTCTCCAAAATTTTCTTTAAAATAGAGTAAAAAAACTAATTTGCCCATTATATTTTAAAATAGGCAAAACAAATAATAATTCAAAAATGTAATTAAATATTTGATCCTGCACATTAACAATATTTTTAGCTGAAAATTATAATAAAAGACAAGAATTTTTGATAAATGAAATGTTAAAAATAAGAATGTGATGAAGAAAAAGAATTAATGGTGAGTTTGATTGCCAATCTTTTTCATGAAAAAATGTATTTTTCCACCTAATTTTTCTACTTTTGGCCACGTGACCATATTTTTCTTGAAAACAAAGAAAATATTTTTTTAGAGTTGAGGTAATTTTTATTTTCTATGTAATTTACTCTCACTTTCTCTCTCTCATCTACCATCTCGCTCTCATCTCCCTATCAATAAAAAATAGACAAATATGATATTTTTTAGGTTGAAAACTAAATCAATCAAAATACATTTAATTAATAATTTTCATACAAATAAGTTCTGACATATAGTTTACTTTCTTTCCATACAAATTCTATTACCTAGAATTTACTTTTTTTCCATACAAATTCCATATTCAGTAACGTCGCACAAAGTTGAATTATTTTTTTTGAGAAATCAGTGGCAGTGCATTTATTAGGAGATAAGAATCTGATATCATTATTTCGAATTCAAGTTTCAACTACCCAAATTTGTCTGTGTAACTGTGTTCTGCCATACTTAATTCTGTATTTAGCATTTTTACATAAGGGGACTCAGACTCATTGTGGTATTAGAAGGTTGACCTACTCTCACATTCGACTGGGACCCGTGCCAACATCACATGAATAAAAAATGCAAAAAACATAACCCCCACCCACCCTTATTGTGTGTATGTCACCTAAGATGTCAAAAAATTTCCTAGCACCCTAGCATCGTCCGTGGTATTAAAACATACAGTTGTGCATTTAAGTTTCTCCTGCCACCTATTTATCAAAAGTTTTCCTGTTAAAATGGTTTTTGATGACAAAGTATATTGTAAATAAGTAATTTTTTAGAGTAATGCTATGGGAGCCCGTGGCTATTATGTAACCCCTATGTGTAATGCTATGGGTAGTATTAATGATTGGAATTTTTGTTTTTTTTTTTTTGATATCCAGGTATCCAACTTACATCAAACTATGTTGTGGACCACTCATCTCCGGCCCCTCAGTGATGGGTGGAGGTTAATCGCGGGATATGCCCAAGTTGACCATGGTCCGCGCATCCTTTATACTCCTGACCTCAAGGGAGCCCTCCTCCATGGATATTACATCATCAAGCTGCTCCATCTAAATTAAGTATTTGAGTAGATGATATGAGTTAGGTGGGTTTTGATATTCCAGCTGGCATGGAAAAAAAATTAGGATTGGTTCCTTGATTTGTACGTTAATTATGCTGCAACTTTTAATATGAATCATGCTACATATACAATATTAGTTGACAACATCCTATTTGACATCACCATATCCATTCCTAAAAACTGTTTCTCATATCACATACTAAAATTTTGACAACACATAATTGTCGATCATTGTTGTCAACCAATTTTGCGCACTTAGATTTATTCCCTTAAATACAGCAGTTTCTACTTCCCAGGAAAATAAAATATTTTTTCAACTCACGTGTGATTTTGCCTGTGTAAGTAAGCATATCTGTCTCTCTCTCTCTGTATAAATATATTTATATTTCTTTTCCTATGTTTATCTAAATCTTTTTTTATGGGTTTTTATTAAAATCTTGATTTGTCTACATTTTCGCCATTACTGCATTGTTGCATCACCAAATTAAGACTCTTTACCAACCCAACCCACCAACAACACCAAAATTATGAAGGCTAAAGTGATTGTGCCTGAAATTCACAGTTGGGCAAGGAGAAAAGCGAAAAAAAATTAATTGAATGTAAGAATTAGCATTTATGAACCCAGTGTGTATTGTACTATTTTAGTTGCCTGCATTTATTGTGGCGAACCACTCATGAAATCGGTTATGTATGAAGAATTCTTGCTCTTCTTGCTACTTAAATGCCAGCTTTATCAACTAATTAGTTTATGGGCACTGAAATATTCACTATATAATTTTGTTTTACGGAGTAACTGAGAATTGAGTTTGTGCAGAAAGGTAAAATGAAGAAATTTGCAGTGAAGGTGGAGGAAGGGAAGGAAGGGAGAGATGGACAGCCATCAATTGGTCCTGTTTACAGAAATCTATTGGCAGAACATGCGTTTCCAGCCACTGATCCTGCTTTAGGCACTGCTTGGGAAATGTTCAGGTAACTTAGAATTTCTATTTATATTGAATTTGCAATAATTAAATTTGTCAAATTACTGAATAGTTATGAAATCGGAAACAAAGTTTGTGTTTTGTGTTACGGAATAAATGCTAATTCCTTGTGTTGAAAGTACAGAGACTTTGACTCTGTCCCCGAACGGTTAACTAATTAGGAGAATTATGCCGAAGACCATTCGCATGTCTAGTTAACGTGGAATTTCTGTCTACACATCTCCTTGAACTAAGTACCACGTCATCATGGCTCATCACAGTCCCCTCTGATGTTCTCCATCCATCTTCTTTTAACTAGAAAATCACGTACACAGTAACACATATAATGGAGATCTACACCATCTCCACAGCACTAAACCCGCGGTACCATTGAGGCTCCATCATGGAATGTCCCTCAATCGCAACTAAATTGGACTCACGTCTTCATTTGGGATCTTCCACATGCATTTCAGGATTCATCTTGTACATCCGCATGTCCATCTTTATTGAGAAATTAAAAGATATAGATTCAATATGAAAACATGTTGAAGGAACTTGAGAAGAAGAACACTTTATTAATCATCAAGTTCAAGTAATATTGTGAATACATTGCTTCTAGCTCTAATACCATGTTGAGAAATTAAAGGATAGATTCAATATGAAAACAAATTGAAGGAACTTGAGAAGAATGACACTTTATTAATCATCAAACAAAAGTAAAATTGTGAATACATTGCTCTATTTATAGATTAAATTTCTAACAAACTAACTACATAACAAACCAGAGAAGGATCTAGAATAAGCAACTAATAACAAATAGAAGGAGGATCTAGAATAAGCATCTAATATTGAATATTTCAACACTTCCCCTCAAGATGGAACATTTTAAATTGTAGAGAGAAGAGGCAAGAGAAGTTGTGGTCGATAATAACGTCCAACGGAGAAGCAATCAAAAGAAAAACAACATAATTCAAGCATATAAGTGAGCATCCATGGCCCTAAAACCGGGCATTTGTTGAAGACAAACATCATTAACATTGATGAGTAAAAGGATGGTGATGAAACTGATACAACTCATGGGAATGAGAAACCACAAAATCCCCAGCAGAAACCGGGCAGGATGTCTCCGAGCAAAGATTGTGGTTCTCACTGTGGACGTGAAATATAAAGTAGGTAACATCAACAGTCAGCTTCCTACCGGAGATTGGTTCCTCTGTAGATGCAGCAATGCTGAAGGTAGCTATGTCAACGAGTCGAGCCCGAGCCCAAAAAAAAGCTCGGGTTCGGCTCAAGCTTTTTTGGGCCTTTGCTCGGCCAAAAAAAATGAGGAGCCTTAGCGGGCC